GCCGCCGATCCGAGGAGCCGCCGCTGTGCTGGTCGCCGGTGGTATTGCCGGTTGCCGGAGGAAGGGAGGAAGAGAAAGGGGGTTGGCGGCTAAGGTAAGGGAAGGAAGAAAGTGATGAAACCTACTGTGTTTTCTTTTTTTTCTTTTTATTAATTTTCTTTTCCTTTGTTTTAAAACCAAACCAACCCAAAAAGCCCAACATACCCAAGCCCAAGAGAAAAGAAACCCATCCCAACTTAAGATAAAACCAACCACACGGAGCCCGATATATATAAATTTAATTAAAGTTTAATTTAAAATTAAATGAAAATCTCCTAATTCAAGACTAACTAACCTGAGGGACTCGGGGCGTTACAGTTTATTTGATTTGTTTGTTAATTGTAGTGTGATATAGCCATATATACTTTATAGTTCATATATAAGTTTATCTGAGTTTGATTTTGGTGAATCAATTATTCATACTACAGTCAACACATATAGTTAAATTTTGCATTTGGAAAAAGTTTTAAATCCAGAAACCTACAACTGTAAAATTTGTATGAAATGACGTAAATCTCGCAGCGAAAACAAGGATCTTTGTTTTTGAATTTTGACGAACAAAACCCACAAATGAAAAAGGAAAATGCAGGGGAATTGGGTATTACCTTCGATAAGCAGTTCTTCAACAAACCCAATTGACACCACCAAACGATCTTCCTTGCTATTCTCTGGTGAGGATCTTTGCTTGTGGGTACAATAATTGAAACCAGAGAGAATTGAGAGAGCAAAATCTACGGGTTGGTTTTTCTTTTTCCAGTTTTCCCTTTTTGTGCACAACAATTCTACAAAAATAAAATGACGTGGGGAGTTACCGTACGTCATCACAAACTACCCACTCCCTGTTAGGGGGTGATAAATATTAATATTAATTAATATTAATTATATTAATATTAATAATTAATAATATAATTAATTAATTATTAATCTAACTAACAATTAATTATTTAATCCCAAAATATGATCATATTCTAAAGCAATTCTCTCATATAACCTATAGTTGTAATGTACATCTTATGCACATTGTTTTAATATGAATTCTATTCATATGGATCTTTTATTTGAATCTCATTCAAATAATTTCTCTCATAATATATAGTTTCAATTTAGAATTAATCATATATTATAATATATCTATATACATATGTTCTTTTGAGAAATTTTAACATTTTAAATTTGTCCAAAAACTTGATCCTCGTTTTATCCGTTGTGAGCTAGTAAGGGGACCTAATGGACCTACAGATCAGAAGCTCCAACGATACGAGATTAATCGGTCAAACTCATTAACCAAGTTAATCAACATTCGTTAACTACATGTCACTTCACTAAAGACCCACAGCTGCACTATTCTCACTGTAGAATGTTTTCGTGTCCACGAATATACGACCATTAATGGCAAGTCAATCCTTCACGAGTGTTAATAACTCAAGCTAGGTCAAATTACCATTTTACCTCTGAGTTACATCTTACTCCTTAAATACCACTGCTCCTCTAATTAACAACCTCGTTATGGTCCAACCAATAACCGAAAGTCCCTCTCGGGCCAGTGAGAGGGTGAAACCCCTTGTTCAAGTCCTGGAGTCAGCATTTAAGAGAACATTCATCTACTCCCCTAAGGACGAGGAGGAGTGAATTCCATCTTGTGAAGTTATGTTCCCAGCTCCCCTTTTGGTCTGTCCTCAAAATGGTAGGAATGTCGAGTCGGCGACTCGGGCCACTCTTACCCATACAGATCAAAGGACGAGCCCTCATGGGCAAGAGTCCATAACTCAGATTGGGAATGAGTTGTCTGGTCATCCTATGAAATAACAATCTGTTAATCAACAACGTTACATCTAAAGATTGACTATTTCGTGATTCGGTCTTATACAAACTCATTGTATACGATACTCTC